CAGGCCTCTCTCATCTTTTTAAGTGGGAGAACTTGCACAATTGGTGGCTGACTAAATACTTTTTTGCCCCACTGTAGGTATTACTAAGTAGGTACTACTTAGCATAGGACTTCTTTTAAGCTTCCTATAATTGGACATCTGCCAAGGATTACTCACCAGCAAGGTAAAATCCTTGTAAAATCCTTGTAAAATCCAGAACCCTCTAGGTCATTTCTTCTTTCTTGCTCTTCCTGTCTACTCACCTGTCCTTTCTGAACAGGTAAAGAAGGACAGAAATAAAGCATTCCCCAACCTATCTACCTCCAGCTGCCATTTACACTGGAAGGAGAGCAAGGGAATTGATCCAACAGTGCAAGGTTTGTCTTCTTAGCTGCCTCAGGTACTCTATCAATGGAAAGACAGTGGAATGCGCATACTGTATAAACACAAAACATAAGCAAAAGAAGCCACATACCTGTAGAGCTGATTTCCTATCTACCATTCCTTTGACAAATGTTAACACTTCGGGAGTGGCAGAGCGGATGTTGTCTACTCTCCCACCTTCATACCGACGAAGAGAAGCACTTTCGTAGGTGGGAACCAGCCTCATGTTCAACCTACAGTGGAATGACAATTGAAGCATGATTGAACCACTCCTGTACAAGCTTTAAACAGCTGGAAGAAAATTGTACCCTAATCCAGGTGACTATTTTACCACCATGTTTTCTACATGGTTTAGCACTTCATTTCCACCCAAATGGAATTCTGTAGGAAGAATCTACATAACAACCAGCTTGTTCCTACAACATCAGGGTCAACGTGTGTTGAATTAAATTTGCTCCAGTTATGCAGCATATGTAAAGAAAACTTTTATGCCAGTCTAACAAGCGTACTCTAAGTTTAAAGAATGTTTTATTTGATTCACATAATATCATTGTAGAATTAAGAACATAATGGCGAGATGACAATTTTGTTAAAAATTCATTTTAAAAAATCCCTCTATGGATAGCACAGGACCAAAGTGTTCCATAGCATATTAGATTTAAGAGCGATTGGAGTGTAGGGCTTGTGTATCTGAACTGCTAAAAGAAAGAAAAAAATAAAGAAAACCTGGGCTGCAAAAATCTAGATCAATGTTCCTCAACCTTGATAACTTTAAGATGTATGGACTTCAACTCCCGGAATTCCCTGGCCAATAGAATGCATGTTGGTTGGGGAATTCTGGGAGTTGAACTCCGCATATCTTAAAGTTGCTAAGGTTGAGAAACCCTGATCTAGAGCACCACTAGATGATAGCAAAGAGTTATAGAAAACTCTAACTTATCCAAATCTAGAGGCCACCTGGAGTTTTGGGCCCCAGGTATCACAACCCTATTCTAGATTACTTTGTGATTAAAAATTGGCAGAATCCTAAAAGCGATTGTGAAGTCTTATCCTACAGAAGATCATTTATTTATTTATTTATTTATTTATTTATTTATTTATTTATTTATTCATTCATTCATTCATTCATTCATTCATTCATTCATTCATTCAATTTATATGGTTGCCCATCTCAGCAAATGACTCTGGGCAACAAACCATCTTAAAATAAATTGAAAACAATTTCTCATCAGAGATACAAAAATTAAAATACACAGCACCCAAGGAAATACCTAGGGGTATCTAGACAGTATCTAGTTGTATCTAGACCAGTATTGTCCAAACTTAGCCACTTTAAGATGAGTGGACTTCAACTCCCAGAATTCCCCAGCCAGCACGGGAGTTGAAGTCCACTCATCTTAAAGTGGCCAAGTTTGGACAACACTGATCTAGACAGATGGAAGGCATTGTGTGTGGAATGGCTGGCTGTGTGTCCTCTTCTGCAAAGACGAATCCTTTCTTTAGAAGGTCAGCCAGTTAGATGGTAGCACCGAGCTAACCTTTGGCTGATCTGGAAAAGCTATGCAGGGTTGGTCCTGGTTAGAACTTGGATGATAGACCACTAAAAAAGAGGTAGGATGACAGGCTATGTGGGAAATAAAAAGCAAAGCACTTCGAACACGTTATTACCAGGAAAATTATGCAGAGAGGCCTGTGAAGGTATCAGGAACTGAACTGAAATCAAAAGTGATCCTGTTCCAGATTTGTGTCAGGAGATCTGAGGCAAGTCTGTATCATCAGCCTGCAAATGCCATCCCTCGCCTCTCTTGGCTTCCTTCTGGATGCCCTTGGCATTGCCACTGGCAATATAAAGTGGCTGTTCCCAAAAAGGTGACATGGGATCAGGTTATACTTTGGTTGAACTCTGGAAGTGAGATAGCGCCTTCCTTCCCTCCTTTCTCACCGCAGTCCTTTCCTTGCGCCTTGCAAAGCAAAATCTGAAGCCAGTTTACCTGGACTCCAACCGGAGCAGGGCTACCCAATTGCAATGGTGGGGAGGGAAGTAGAATGTTTTGTAGAATTCCTTTCTTTGCACTGATCTTGGCCCACCCACCTTTGTTCTGGATGCTGCACTGACCACTATTTGCTGATTTCTAAAGCCAATTTGTATGTGACTCTCATTTAATTTCCCAGTTAGTGTGCTTTAACTGGGGGATGTTTGCTCCTCTTTAGACTCTGAAAACAACGAGGGTAACCTGATCCTCTTTTGTGATAGGGTACTAATTAATTTCTTTTATTTTTCTGATTGTTAAGAGCAGAACCAGTTCCTGGCAGTGCACGTCTTGTTTTCTCTATAAATCACAATGGCTGCATTAAAAAAGTTAAACACAACGGCACAACTGAATGGACAGCTCCTTTCCGTAGACATGGTTTTGCAGCAGCCCAAATGAAAAGTGGAAGCCAACCAGAACGTTGAACGTGGTCAAGAACTTGGCAGTAGAACATTTTGGGCAAGCTGAACTCTCCCTTAGATTACCACTTTGACACAGACCATATTCATACAGTCTGCCCTCCTCCTTGAAACATATTTTTTTGTGTGATATGAGTGACACAAATTACACAAATTACATCCTGTGACGGGATGCTTACTATGAATCTTCTGTGCCTTAGTCCCCTTCCCACTTGCAAATGTGACCTTTTTCTTAATGTCAAGGTTGCCTAAGGGCTAAAACTTCCATTTGGGGGAGAAGAAGAAAGCACAAAGCATCCTGTTGAAATGCTGATCACCTTGAGTATGAGGGGAAAAAGATTATCTTTCAAGGAATCTCCACAATATCCAGAAGACAATCAGGAGTGCGAAGGATTTGTTTACTTGTTTCTGTATGGGAGGATAGTTCAACAGTCCCTCTGAATATCCCATGTGGATGGACACAGTAGAAAAACCCTGACTTTTTGGACAGCCAGACAGAGAAGAAACTGTCATCTCAAGATCTTCTCTCTAACTCTACCTGATGGTGCAGAAGCTTAGCAGCCTGCTCTGACCTTTCCCACTCCAAGCAAGTCTTTTCTTACTCCAGAGAACCTTTGAGCAGCCTGGACTTTTGACCACAAAGTCCAGCAGACTATCCTGGTTCTCCACTGAGCTATATGTTCCTTGATCTTACATTTCCCACTATGCTTTCATTGTGTTCTTCAGCAATAGACCCAACCCCTTCCTCGGAGCCATGCGTGGAGACCAATTCTGAGATCCATATTCGCTCTGGGATTTACAATACTGTTTAGTTAAGGGATCTCAGATGCATACCTGTCCCAGCTGGACACCCCTGTGCAACATGTAGCTTTGTCAAAACAATCTGTATTAAAGAAAGCTGCAGAGAAAACTGTATATTATTTACAGACAAATAGAAAGAACGACATAGCAAGCAATTTGGCACCACTTTGATATGGACTGTAATCAGAGCGATCAACACCTTTACTTCACGTACTGGTAAAAGGCAAGCTGGAGGGCCACCTGGATGTATGCATCTGGGCTCATCTTCTGTTTTTTGATAAATTCTTTCCCATAGTTTTCAAATTTATAAGCAATAAAATCTAGATTTTTCACCAGTCTAGAAAATGAGAAAGAAGAAGAGAAATAAAAGTGAGAAGTTCTCATCATACTTTTTTTTTTTTTTTTAAAGACTTCTCCCAGCAACTCCAACAAGCTCTTCAAAGCATTAGGAGGATCATATCCATAATAAACTTGGAATTCAGGCCCTAAACTCAGTTCCCAGACATTAGATGGCTTGTTCAGTCCCGTGCAATTTAAAAAGCTGTACATCCCCTTGGAGTGCCGGAATCAACAGTTCAGGGTTTCAGATGGAAGCATTATGCAAAGGACTAAGGCTTGAATTCAAATGGGCTATTCAAATGAGTTACTTTTATTCCTATTGCAATAATCTTTCTCTGTTCTGAAACTATAGACTTATTCCTCAGGCTGCTTAAAGTACACTGTGTGCACCTACAAAGGGTCAGGTTTACATAAAATGCAAAGACTAATATTCAGCATCCAATTCACTTCCCAGCCATTATTAATGCAACAGGAACACACTGACAATCATACACGTGACATTGCCATGGTGAATGAAGACGCCCAGTCCTGCAGAGAGCTCAATCCTGTTCCTTTATGTGGATGTTCTTCCCTATATTTACGCATTTAATAGGGCTGAGCAAGGCTTTTTGAGGGACATTTTGCTGCTTCAAAGGTTACGCACAGCCCTGGCCTTTAATATACTGTATTTCTTTGCCATTTTTCAAGACTGTGCCTTTCCCAAGGTGTTTATAATGCAAAAGCAAAATAGGAATAGTAAAATAAGCAAGTGGAAAGAAAGAACCACTGAAATATCTAACAGCAGAAAATAGTGTTTACTATTCAGTCCTTTCGGTGACAAGCCAGAGAGGACAGAAGTTTTAAAAGAAGCCACAGATGAAGCCATTCACATCTCTTTCCGAAGGGAATTTCAGATGAGACGCCACCACAAAAATGTTTTTTTTTTTCCTGTAATGAACTTGCACGTTTACCAACTGAAGATTTGCAAAATATAGAATTACAGCTGCAGATGAAAAGTAAAAAAAAGAGAGGAAGGAAGGAAGGAAGGAAGGAAGGAAGGAAGGAAGGAAGGAAGGAAGGCAGGAAGGAAGGAAGGAAGGCAGGAAGGAAGGAAGGAAGGCAGGAAGGAAGGAAGGAAGGCAGGAAGGAAGGAAGGAAGGCAGGAAGGAAGGAAGGAAGGCAGGAAGGAAGGAAGGAAGGCAGGAAGGAAGGAAGGAAGGCAGGAAGGAAGGAAGGAAGGCAGGAAGGAAGGAAGGAAGGAAGGAAGGAAGGAAGGAAGGAAGGAAGGAAGGAAGGAAGTCCTCAATCATATATAAAAAGTTTTTCTGCACTGTATCCCACTTGCAACAGCTATGCTGTTAGCTCTTTACTTCACCAGCATCTCCCCTCAGTGAATTAATGAACCCCCTATTCATTTATTGTGTTCAACAGATTGATCAGTGAAAACGTGCAGTCCTGATATCTCTGCATTAAATATGGAATTGAAGAATCTGATGAAGTCACTTTACCTTTCAAGTTTTTCTGCAGATGAAGCCAAGTGTCCCTGAATTTCTGGAGAACATTTCCACCTTAGTCTCCTTGGGGCAGGAAGCTCGCTCACTGAATCTGCTCTGACCAATTTCTTTGCGTTTTCTTTCCTGTTTATAGAGAGTTGCAGAAGTCCAATGGGTTGGTGGCTGATTTGTGAGCTCTATGGCCTGCCTTTCTGAATTGTTTGTACACCTCTGAATCAACTCAGGGAAAGCTATCCCCTAGATACCTGCTTCATATGATTATTGCTTCTGAGTCAGAATTGGTTTCAGCTATAGTTGGAAACCAGAGTTTGACAAGTTAGGAGAAATATTTTCTTTTCTGTCTAAAAAAAAGAGGTTGAGCTTGATTCTTGGTGTCTACATTGGGATGCAACCCTGAAGCTTGCTTGCCAAAAATATGGAAGTAGTTTACCATTATCTTTTCTAGCATTTTGGGGGGGAGGGGGGTCTCAGTCTATCTTACAGCCCTCAGATTCTCTAGTGATCTTTCATCCAATTCATAGACCAAAAACCCCCCAACAACCCTACATGGTTATGTCCATGTAATCTCCAGGAATCAAGCCAACCCTTTCTACTGTGGCCTTAAATTTGGCTTCCTTTCTAGTAAATACAATAGCATTTACACTTTACTAATTTCAACACATTGCTTCAAAATGCCAAGGGGGTGGGGGACACGCTCAATAAGAGTTGCTTTACAAGAAGTTGCCAAGTAAGAAAGATTCCATCATGTATGGATTTCTGCACAGCCTTACAAAAGTAAATAATAATTGTCCTTAATATTAATAAGAAGAAGAAGAAGAAAAAGAAGAAGTAATAGGAAGATATACATTTAAGTAGTAGTGGCTTCTAGGCATTGCTGAAATCAGAATGTCACTGGAAGACATGAAACACTCATGCTGAAGCAGAAAAGCAGACGGTTTCTTATAGCAACTAAAGGTGACTTACATGTGCTTCAGCAAGTGTTCGATGCACTGTACGAGAATGATTCCATCAAAAGGGGAATGTTCACATACTGTTCCACAGACTCCATCTCGTCCTACAACAAACTAAGCAGGGAAATTAATTTAGGCAGAAAATGAATTTAATAACTTTTGAATTCAAAAAAATGTAGTACATTTTGCCTTTAAGATACCGGCTAGTGAAGCTGCCAGTATTAGAATAGAGGTAGGATTTGTTTTAGGCATTGGCCAAATATCACAGAAATCATTTTGAAGTTCTCCGGTGTAACAATATCCAAGGATCTAAATCTTGATACAGCTGGGTGAATCAAAAGCACCAAATGGCACCTACTACCCCTAAGTTTTAAAAAAAAAAAATTAACTTCAAAAGAAGAAAAAATGTGGTTGAATTTTTTAAAAAACAGAGTGAATGATGTTTATGAGGACATCCAGCTAGTCATGGAAGTACCATTCTCCCTCCCTTCCAAATCTGAAAGTGAAGAAAAGAAAAGTGAAAGAACGGGGAAAAAAGACTTCATGATTGTGTGTACATAAAATAATCTGTTCCAACAGTTAAATCATTTGGCAGCAGTTTCTGGATCATAGAATTTCTTCACACCACTTCCCAGACAGCATAAAATAAGGACTTTCTTTCTATATAATCAAATATTGTAAGATATAGAAAGAAAGTTCTTATCCCCTGCTGTCTGTCCATGAGATAAACTTGGCTTTGTTGTTGTTTAGTCGTTAAGTCGTGTCCGACTCTTCGTGACCCCATGAACCATATTGCGCCAGGCCTTCCTGTCCTTCACTGCCTCCCTGAGTTTG